AGACTACTGTACCTCGAACGGATTTTATTATTCAAGAACGATAATTATTTTTTGTTCGTTATGTTTGTTCGCTGGATGTGTGATAATGATAAGTGATAACAAGCTGGTGATATAAATAGGCAACTTTTGTCATTTTTGAAGAAATAGTTCCTTGTTCTTACTTCTTACAACAATTGATTTATGATGAAAACCCTTATAGAAACATAGCTCTAATGATTTACGTATATACTACGATTACGTTTGTATAAACGAAACGCCTCTCAGATATTAAAGTTTAAATAATATTTTAATCTTTAATTTTGAGATGTCGGTTCAATATCTCGTAACTATGCTATTAATACTATATTTTTATAAATATTTTGTTGATGTTGGAAACTTAAATGATGAATCATACAAGTAAGTTTTCGAATACCTACTGAAAGATATAAAATATGTAAATAATTAAATTATATTTCAAGTAGTAAACGAAGCGTGATTTAAAGGAGGTTAAAAAGCTTATAAATATTTAAAACTTTTTAAAAGATCAAACACCCGATTTGTCGTTTCTTTCATGTTTTTTTATTACCTCGCTTTCGTGTATGTCTGTTCTAGTCGAATTTAGTAATTGATTTTAACTACTGATGAACATGACCCAAGGATCTAAAATTTTGAACATAGCCCAGAATGGAACAATTTTCGAGTAAGAATATAAAAATAAGAATTTCGTACGTTTAGGCCAATTTAAAAACGAGTTACATTAAAATTTAAAATTTCTCTGAAAACGAGTCATTCCATCTTAGTCCTGGGGTGGCAACGCTTTGGCATTTTGATTCTTAATCGAGGATAGATGTAGATGTATCTATAGTCGTCTATAGCCCTATGGCTCAGCATTCATTTACCGTCGGGTGGACCGTGTGCTCGTTTGTCATCCATATTCTATAAAGGAAAAAATATCAATGCGAGCGATTTGTTGGAGCATAAACAAAGCTAGGTAATTTATAAATACATTTTGCATTAAGCTAACGTTAAAGCAAAACAAACTTTTTCTATTTTGTGAGGCATTACAGGCTTACACCGTCACTACCGAGTATCAAGTGTCATTGTAAATTCGAGGTTATGTTTTTCTAGTCACCGCTTGTGTTGTTTGTTTTAAGTTGGTCTTTTTTTGTAATTTAATTTTTAAATGCAATAGCATAAAAAAGACGGCATATGCCCAATTGTTATAATTCTGAGATTCAATTGGTATATTCTTAAATCACCTGTAAAGATAAAGTAATAAAGTAAATATTGCGCAGACTTATACTCTGATCAGACAAATAAAAGTTTTTATCTTATATTAAAGTAGTAACGCACAGTAACGTCTCAAGTGGCTGCCGATTCGCCTTCGCAAGAATACTCAAATCCTTTTTGCTTTATACTGCATCTTGTTTACTCCTACCTGAAAGACCGCTTTGAATTCATTTCCTCCTGTCATGATCATCATCTACGTTCCACCAACAATCTTTCGCTTCGTATTTCAGCACATCCTCCTTCTCCAATAAATCATTTTCGGTTACAGCTGTTCGCTTGTGGTAACTCTATGCCTTTATATCATTGATTTATTTTATATAACACTCGATCAGTATAGGTCGTGCCACGTAAGGTGAAATTAAATAGAGTCCACTGCGCATGTAATGCAAAAAGTATGTAATGTAATATGTAAAAAGTCAAAGGTCAACATTATAACTACACATCAAAGTCTCCACGAAAACTGAACGATATATTTATATATCATCGTTAGGTTTTAACTGCTTCTAAATAATATTTTGCATTTTATGTACACTTAGTTAAAGAAATAAAATATTTTGTATTCATATTTTTGTATTTGTAATTGCTGTTTAAACTATACTATGCGATAGCCTTCGATTATAAGGATATTTTACATGCAATAATTTGCAAAAAAAATCGTCTTGTAAAAAATAACAAAATATTTACAACTTTATACAATATACTACGAACTACGCTATTTTAAATAGTCCCAAAATAATTTATAAAGTAATAAATATTTGCACACTATTTGAAAATATTATAATAGAACAATATTTTTAAAAGTACAAAAATAATCGCAAAAATTTAAAATTTTATAACAGGTAGTCGCTAACACTTTCAATATCGATAGTACACAAGACGACACAAGAAGGTGCGCGGGCGACGGGACGTAAGAAGAAACTACTTGGGAGTAGCGCGTCGCCCGTTGCTATGGTTTCGCTTCCCCGTACCTCACACCTCACCGCGCCGACACCTATTTTTCGGATTTGCGCACTTCCATGACTCGTGGCGTTACCTATAATAACCGCGCCAAAGCGTTGCCACTGCACATATGGCCACAGCCATATGCCTAGCTAACGTGAGTTCATTGTTCAATGTGACGCCGACAGAGTTGAGCCGCGACAAAAATGGGTTTGTTAGTTAGTCAGACGTTAGTGTTTATGTGGTAATTGGTAAATGCGTAGTGAAAGAATGCTATTCAAGGTCACACAAACGTAATAAATCAAGCGGAATCACTTTCAACACATAATTTTTAGTTCTTGTTTTCATATAAACGTAAAAAACCTCAAATAATTAAATAAAATTATCGAATATTGCCATTTAGGTTCAATGTTGCCACTTTTCCGCATTTGTGATTATCCTACATTAATGGGAGACTATATAATTAATGGAGTAAGTTAATTTGTTACCTCTGATTTTAAATATTTTGGAAATTATACGTAATTATACGTAATAAAGATTTTAAAATAAAATATACTATTTTAATATAAAAACAATTAACTGCAGCTTTAAAAAACTCATTTTTATTGCGTATTTTAGGTAAAATTTCATATAGTGAGCCACACCAATCCGCCATTGCATGTTTGTGTGTCTATCCTTATCTAATCTTAGCGACGATATTGTTTTCGCAACTTGTGTAAGTGAGATAGATATATGTTTACTTAAAATTGTTATTAGTTTCAAAGCTACGTCGTCGCGTTTGGATAGTGGTTGCACTTTTTTCGACGCGCGGTAATGTCGTTTGCTCCTCTAGTGTTGTATAACTCAATGCTTTATATATTCTACCTGCTCAGTCCCTTTTTACGGTTCCGTAGTTAAACAACAAGGAATCCTTATAATTTTGTCATGTCCGTCCGTCCGTCCGTCCATCCACCCATCCGCGGTTTTACTCAGAGACCATAGGTGCTACAAATCTGTAATTTAGCATAGTTATAGTTTAATCACGCTTATAAAACTGTAAATAAAATTTAAAAAAAAAGCGTTTTTATTTTTGGGTGGGTTTTTAATTTTTATTAAGGGTTATGTTACACCTTCGTTTTTTAAAGAATATATTGATTGATTGATAAAAGTATTGATTTAATCCGTATTGTAAGACACCTTATCCTAAGGTTTATAATAGGCGGACTAATGCCTAATGGCATTCTCTACAACTCTGGGAGAAACAGATAAATAAAAGTTGGCGGGTGGAAAAAAAAACTTCTTCCTCAACTACCATTATGATCAAGTGTATTAAAAATATCCTCAACAATAAACTGAACTTTGAAATAAACGAAAAATGAAGACTTATGTACATTAAATTATGTTTAACATCATCTCTCATCAAATGAAACTATCTGTCGAATAACTGGCTATCTGATCGTCAAATGGAGAAATAATTTTATTCTTATTTTAGCCAAGTTATTCGTCAAATAAAGCCCATCAGACGCTTGAAAAATTCACTTGTTTTTTATCATTTTGAATAAACGCTATCTGTCTGCTTATCTAATCCTCAGATAAGCACACACAGACAGCGTTTATTCGAAATGATAAAGCTACTATAAGTTTCGCAACCAAAGTGAAAGTGCACGCCTGATATTTGTTATTTAGAACTAGGTTGTCAAAATTTAATAAGCAGCGTGTATCTTCAAATTTATAAATTTATAGAATAGTGTTGTGTTGGTAAGTCCACACAGCCTCATAGAATATCAGCGTAGCGTGTTTCGTATGGTGAGTGTAGAGAACCGGAGACCCTTTTACTGGAAACGAGGCATTCCATCTTAGTCCTCACGGGTGACAACGCATCTAAATTTGGATTCGTAATAGATGTAGATGTCTATGGGCCGCAGTAACCACATACAGGTGGACTGTGTGCTCGTTTGTCACCCTATCCTATATAAAAAAGTTCAAGTCAAATAAATAGTACTCCTAGTTCTGCTTAGGGGACACAGTCAGGTTTTTTGGTTGCGTGTCCGGCCTAATAGGACGGTGTCCGACCTGTCCGGCTTTTGTTGGGCTTTTTAAATTTGACCATTTTCTTACATTTTTCATGTATTTACATACATAGTATTGCAATTATTAAAATTAATATTGTAACGAATATTGTATGATTAACATAACATAAACACTCACGCCTGTCACCCAGAGGGGTAGGCAGAGACAGTAGACTTCCATTTAGCATGATCCTGACATACCTCTCTCGCCTCTTCCACATCCATATACCTACGCATACATGCTCGTCGGTTAAGGGTACTCTTAATTGTATGATTAATAATAAAGAAAACTGATTTATTCAATTGTGTTGTTATTTCATTAGAATTTAAGAAGATTTTATGGTAAATAATGAAAAGCAATGTTTAACTTTAAATAAAAATGTCATGTTATACTAAGACTAAAAAATTAAGGATGTCCGGCCTTCTTACCAAAATGTCCGGCTAAGCTCGCTGGTCTGTCCGGTTTTTCGATTTTAAGCAATTTAAGACCTGGCAACCCTAAACGTGCCTGTGACTGCAGTTAACTTAATACAAAGAAGACTTTCTTTGTTTTAAGTTGGTTACACGTGTTCATGGCCTGTAGTGATCACTTACCATCTGGTGGACTATAAATCCGTTTGTCACTTTAGATTTATAAAAAAACATTAACCTCGTCCAACTTGATAGTGTTGAGGTCTTAACTAGTTGGAGTTTATTTTAAGAAATTTTTGTGATCTATACTCTATAATTTATTTTTTCTTGCAGTTTTCTCCAAAGGACAATGCGAGACCGGCCGGTACCGGTTCCTGGCAAAATCTGGCGGTTTCGCATGGGTCGAGACCCAAGCGACAGTAATCACCGACAAACAACAAAAACCTATCAGCGTCGTCTGCGTCAACTACGTAATCAGGTAGGTCTAGAGTTAAACATTTTGTAATGATTGTTTATATGAATTTTGTGTTAACGTTTGTTTTCAGTTACGTTTATTTTCTCTAAATATTTAATGTGTATACTGAGAAATTGGAAAAAGGTAAGTGATTTTACAATTTTATTATAATTTAAATTCGTTAATATGTTTTTAATTTTTTCGAAAAACCATGGTCTACCGCTGTGCAGTTGTACAATCCTGTATTTTAAACAATTTCCATGTGAATCTTTAAAATAATATTTTGCAAAATATTGATTAATTAATAGAATTGAACTGTAATTATTGCAGAAATTCTATTTTTCATCTTAATCGCAAAAAGCTATCAACTTATAGAATGATACGATTAGAAAACTATGAACAGCTTTCCATAGTTTTACGGCACCCGTAGCGTATTCATTTCGAACAAATTAATTTTTATCCAACAGCGGTTTTAATGTTTTATATTCTATAAGTAAGTCAATTGTTTATTTTTTAATAAAATATGTTCATTTGCTATAACTACTTCTCGTTATAGCAAATGAACATATTATAGTTACTAACAATCTCAATCAACAACTTTACCTTATTGTAATGAGTGTAGATGAGCAAATTACTCATTCTAATTGAATAGCGAATGGTTATCGGTGGATAAAATGTACTAAATGTCTGACTATAAAAATTACTTGTAAATAATTATTTAACACAAATTCTATTACAGTCGTCAATTGATAGTTACTCGTGACACGTCACGTGATCTCGTGGTTGTCGTAAGAGGCGACAGAGGGAATCGAACCAGGATGAAGCCTATAAAATTTAGAAATGAAGACAAATCCAACAAGATCTCACATTTTAATGACTGTAAAGCCGCTTAGGCTACAAGAAGGGAACAGTCAAAACGTGCATTTACAGGGAGTGCTTAGGTAAATACATTTATAGTGAGTGCTTACAAAAACTGAGATGAGACGCCTAAAATGGAGTTAGTTAAATCGTAGCTGTATCCGTTGAATCGTTGATTTTAATCTTCAACTTAATATACATAAAAATAAAATGTTGGCTTATTTCTATGGTAATATAATATGAATTAGGATTATGATAGGCATTTGCAGGCACCCTAATTTCACAGGTTGACTACCTCGTTGGTCTAGAGCTAGAGGGTTCGAATCCCGGGTCGGACCAAAAAAACAATTATTGAGTTTTCCATCAAAAAATTCTCAGTAGCTCCCCGGAGTCAGGAAGTTGGCGGTGTCTCACCCCCGTGCCTCGAAAAGCACGTAATCCGTTGATCCTCCGCCTGATCTCTCTCCGGTCGTGTCGGTTTACCGTCACATCGGATTGTGAGAGTGTGGGAATAGAGAGTGCACCTGTGCTAGCGCATACACTTGGGCAATATAATCCTGTCTTGCACCGATGGCTAGCCTCCGTTTAGGCTAGCCGCCGTGACCGAAATTCGGTCTGGAGGTCTACCTTACATAGGCTATTTTCACATCTTACATTATGTCCGTTACATTTATGTGAATAACACAATTTGACTTGTTTTTTGGTATTATTTTTTTTTTTGTTTCGTTCGTTCGTTTCAACGAAACGGTGCGACTTCGATCGATCGTTCTATTACTACATTTTTCTTATCATTTCTATCATAATTCGTCACGCAATATAAACATCGATTTGTATGATGATGAAACATTTACTTATCAAAGGATAAGATGATATTATCAGGCTATTTTACTGTCCATAAAAATACATCGCGGTTTCCTTTGTATACTGTATCTGCACCTTGAAACAATAATAGCAGCTTAGTATGTTTAATAGTTTGCTTGTTTGAACTACTGCGAACGACTACGATTCTGATAACGTCCTTATCTTCTTGTATAATATTCCACGTAGAAACAATCAGATAAGTTTATTAGAAAAATTAAAATGTTATGTGCTAAAATAGATTCCATTTAGATCTTTTAATGTGTAATTGTAAATGCATAAAAATTTGACAGCATTGAGATTCTGATCTAAGGCAGGGGTCGGCAACCTTTTAAATCTGAAGAGGCAAAAATTACAATTAATAAAATTTCAAAGTTTTTAAAGAGCCACAAATTTTTTCTTGCCAACCATAAATAGTACTTGCATTAATAAAGTTTTTTTTGATAAAAAAAACTTATATGTTCATTCATAAGAAAAATATATACATTTATTCATCATATGAGTGTTTTTTCACAACAAATCAGAATCTTATTTCTATTACTATTATCTATTTATTAAGATTATATATATATATATATATGGTATTATTAGATAATCACTTATTATTAAATTAAAAAATTAAAATAATGCAACATTTACATATTTACATTGTAAGTCTTACAACACCAACTTGTACTTCAATAACAAACAATTGAGCAAACAAATTCATTGGAAGCTTTGGCTTTGCATGGTTATTCAAGTAGAAAATTTAAACTTTATTCAATAACGTAGCTTGTACTTAAAAATAAAAAAGCAATAACATACATTTGAGCAAACAAATTCAAAAAGAGCGTTCGCTTTGCATGGTTTTAAAAAGTTTGGATACATTTGTCTTATAACTTGTTTGAAGTTTCAAACATGACTCGAAATTATCTTTTGTTAGTTGACTTCTTACCTTACTTTTAGTTACATTCGTGCAAGAAAACGCTTGCTATCACGAACATTTCGATCCAAAGATATTCAGCTTTATAAATGCCTTACTGTAGCAATCTTGAAGACTATTCCATGCGTCGAATATAAGTGCTTCAACTCGCGGCATTTCTTTTAAAACTGTCCATTTTTGTTGCGTTACGTACAAAGATTTCTGGACCTCCAACTCTTCCAAATTTGCTTTTCAACTGTGTAAGTTTTTCACTCCACAAAGCTTTATTTTATAAATCTATCAATTGCATTTCTAGAAATCCAGCATCAACTTCAAATAGCCCAGTGTGGATTTCGTTACTATTTGTGTTGAGAGGATTTACTATGAATACTAGTGTTTTTTTGGTTTTGAATTGCTGAAATCTATCAGCAAATTCATCTTTAATTTTTTTATAACTGTTCTGAAGTAATTAGTGTCCAAACCAGTTGCACTGGTTTTATCGCGATATTGCTTTAGAAATTGAAAATGAAGTAATTTACTGCTCTGAATATCTTCTGCCAAAATAATTTATTTTTCTTCGAAACAAACCAATTCTTCCACCAAAACATAAGCTGGATTTCCCTTTCCTTGCAGTTTTAGATTAACATATTTCTTCGTGATATTTACTTTACTCGTTCGTTCTCTAATTCAGGGTGATTAATCCCTAAAAACCGATTTCAAATTGCTAAAATTGCTAAATTAAAAAAAATTGATAAACTGCTAAAAACGAAGTTATCTATTTGAAACCTTTAGAGGTGGAATATTTTCTCCAAATTTATATGGGACCACCACCATTGAATTATAACCTATTTAAGGAAAAAGGAATCGTTAAAATCGGTTCTTTATCTGCGAAGATATCACATGAAATTCCTTAAACAATAGTCCTATATGAAACTTTTTCCCCTATTTTCCACCGTTGGGGGCGGAATTTTTCTTCGCAATTTAATGGGATCACCCTTGAGTAAAAGCTATTTAATAAAAATATAATTATCTATTAATATCAATTTAATATTAACTAGAAGTAGCTAAATTTATATACCAATAATGATACACTTCAAATTGAAGGACTATAACCTTTGCATGTCCACTGCTCAAAATTGGCCTCCCCAAAAACTAAACACGGTCCTGATCCACCTGCAGCTATCGACTTGCTGCATGTCTTACCCAAAGCATAGTCTTATTTTTCTAACAAAATAAAAATAAATAGACCAGGTAGTTGCAAGCAAAAAAAGTATTTCGGTTTGCATGCCTAGTAGTTTTGTAAAAAATCACTATAAATAAGAATTGAATAAGTGGACGTTTTAATATTTTTAGTATGTAATATAAAATAGTTTAATTTGAGAAAACCATTAAATTGTAAATACAAATTTATAAAACATATTTTAAATCACAATTCAAATTTAAATGTGTAACAACTATAAGCTACTATTATAGAGGCCCTAATGCTTTTCACTTACAATAAACATTTCACTGTAATCAATTGCTTTTTAAAATATTGTTATGACCACGTTTGAAATAAGCATCGTAAAATGCTCTTTATTCGCGGTAGGTTTTTTTCCTAAACGCTTTCACGACTATCGCTGGCGTGGATAAATTGCTCGCAGAGTCAGATGTGTCACACCATAGACGCCTGTGGCCCATTGCTGGTCTGAGTATTTACGTCTAGCTTATACGAGATGGTTATACCGTCGTCTATAAAATCCATAGAATCCATGAATAGAGTCTTTCATGGTCTCCGTTGAACCTATCCATTGGACAGAATGGAGCGATAGATCCCGTTACGTTGTGTAATTATCAAGCAGCTCTCGTACTACAAATTATCGACTTTATTATGATGTATATTTACTGGTATAACTGACAAAATGTGATCGTTACGGAATATTAAAGTTCGCTGCTGAACATAGTCCTCCTTCATAGATTGCTTCATAGGGGGGGGGGGATATTTGCCATAGTTGCCACGCTTAGCAAGCGGGTTGGCGACCGCAGTTTTTTAATATATTAGTGTTGTTATTAGGAAAATGCTGCTGCCTATCTCCTGATTTATTTCCATCGGTCGCCTCTTACGACACCCAAGGGATGATATGGGGTAGTGTATATTCTTACACCGCCACTACACGGACATAATGTGATTTTTATTAATAGGATAGGGTGACAAACGAGCATACAGTCCACCTGATGGTAAGTGCTTGCTGAGGCCCATAGACATCTACATGTATCCTCGATTACAAATTAAAATGCAGATACGTTGTCACCCGTAAAGAAGTTTATTTTAAACCTTTTCGGTTATCTTTTCAATTTGTTCATAATTTATAACAGAGAATTTCAAAATAAACATAACCGAGTCTATTGTAGTAAAGTAGGTACCGAA